CGTTCTGTGGTCTTCCAAAACAACAGGTTCGTTCATTCTTACAGGCATTCATTTTTACTCAAGTTATTCAAAGTATTCAATGTTCTGTAAAATCACTTTCGTTCGTTCTCGATCAGTACAATTCCCTAAAATCCAACCGTTAAGATAGATCGTAAAACTAGTTTAATATCTAAACGAACCCCCTCAGAACCTGTATGAAATCACGTAATGATGCTTCAATATGGTTGTGAATCTATCAGAATCGCTTGTGATCGTATCAGTATTTATCTTTAAGGAAGTATGTGTGGCTCGCGGTAATTTGTTGCAGTTACTCTTCTGTGATCCAAAAACTGGCAAAATTCATGTGTTATGCAGTCATAATGTATTCGGAATTATACGTTCATTACTATCGTTTCGACTCACCGGAGGCACAAAAGGTTGTTACTGAATAATCAGTTTGAGTTGAGTTGAATGCCATTTTGATGAGTGCTTCATTGAATCGCTAATAGAATTGTGCATGCATTCATAATAATCCAAGTTGCAGATTACATAGTGATAGGATCAGATGCAGGTCGTATAGTGATACTGGAGTATAATCCACAGAAGGTATGTTTCGAGCGAGTGCATCAAGAAACGTTCGGTAAAACTGGTTGTAGACGTATTGTGCCTGGCCAGCATCTGGCTGTTGATCCCAAAGGACGTGCAATCCTTATCGGTGAGGCAGCATTCGATTGATTTTGTGTTTTTATTGAGGGTCATTGATTGATGATATGCAAGTAATAAGAGTGATGCTTCAATTTAGGTGCAATCGAACGTCAAAAGTTGGTGTACGTAATGAATCGAGACGCTGCAGCCAACCTCACGATCAGCTCCCCTCTTGAAGCACATAAAAGTCATTGTCTTTGCTACCATATTGTTGGTGTCGATGTGGCTTTCGAGAATCCAACTTTCGCGTGTTTAGAAGTGGATTATGAGGTTAGTCGCTTTATTGCTATTGCTATTATTCATTTATTGTTGTCTTTAGGAGGTGGATTATGAGATTAATTGCTTTACTGCTTACACCATCATTCATTTATTGTTGTTTATAGGATGTGGACCATGATCCGACTGGGCAGTTGGCCTCAAAGATACCTCAGACGTTAACATTCTACGAACTGGATCTTGGTTTGAATCATGTGGTACGTAAATATGCTGAGCCTTTGGTCGACAAGGGAAATCTTCTCATATCTGGTCAGTTTTCTTTATTGCGTGAATTTTATTCATTGTCATTCACCCAATATTACCATTTTTAATTTCGAATTTTTAAAAATAAATTGTTCTAGTGATACCTGTTTTATTCATAGATGAGAACACTATTGATTTCGATCAGGGTTTCTCAACTAAAGGTGTTCGCATGCTTTGGGGGTGCGGGATAGTATTTCATTTGTCTACATTAAAGTAGGCGAGGGCGGATTTCAACGCATATATGTGTATAATGTAAGCGAGGACCGACTTTAACGTATATAGTTTAAAAGAGGCTAGAAAGTGCTATAATGGTATACAATTATCAACACTACATCACTCACTGTAGTGGATGAGAGATATGAAGTGGATACTGTGAGGGGGTGCGAGGACATATTAACTATTATTGTAAGGGGTGTGAGGACATGTCAAAATTTTTACGGGGTGCGGGCGAGAAAAAAGATTGTGAACAACCGGTTTAGATGGTTAGGGTAAGATATTGTAGAAAATAAGTGGCCGATTCGGCACTCGTGTTAAGAGGTAGTTGTATGTATGCGCTTCTTCGTCTAGATATTCCGCAAAATGTTGTGTAATGATCGAATTGCGTTGGAATTTTCGCTATGATTGCGGTTTTTAGTGCCTGGAGGACAAGATGGTCCGAGCGGAGTGATCGTTTGCTGTGAGAACTATTTGGTGTTCAAGAATTTGGGTGATCAACCTGATATTAAATGTCCGATTCCGAGAAGACGGGTAAATTTTATTGGATGGATTTGATTCGATTTGCTTCAGTTTTGTTTTGTTTGAGTTAAATCAAATGATATTTATTGAGAGAAAGATGGAGCATAGAAATTGGTTGTTTTGATTGTGGAAGAGGGAATAATAAAAGATTTGGGATGATGCATTATTTATTGTAGAATGAACTAGACGACTGCGATCGTTCGGNGATTTGATTCGATTTGCTTCAGTTTTGTTTTGTTTGAGTTAAATCAAATGATATTTATTGAGAGAAAGATGGAGCATAGGAATTGGTTGTTTTGATTATGGAAGAGGGAATAATAAAAGATTTGGGATGATGCATTATTTATTGTAGAATGAACTAGACGACTGCGATCGTTCGGTGATAATCGTTTGTACAGCGACACACAAAACTAAGTTGATGTATTTCTTCTTGGTACAAACCGATCAGGGAGATGTGTTCAAAGTGACGTTAGAAAGTGAACACGACATCGTTAGTTCTTCTTATTTATCAGATTTATTGGTTAAGGTTATCATTGAACCGGTAATTGATTGCTGACTGTTTACAGGTGACGGAATTGAAGATCAAATACTTCGATACAATTCCAGTGGCGAATGCGATGTGCATCCTCAAAACTGGATTTCTGTTCACAGCTGGTGAATTCGGTGATCAGTACGTTATTTGCTCTTATTTTAGTGTTGCATTTAGGAGTTTGATTGTGAATGAGTATCAATGAATTAATTCAGTAATCTGTATCAAATCGCACATTTGGGTGATGAAGACAACGAACCTGAGTATTCATCACGGATGCAATTGGATGAAGGCGAAACGTTCTTCTTTGCACCGAGACAACTCATCAATCTGGCGTTGGTTGATCAGATTGGTAGTCTATCACCGCTCATCAACTGTCACGTGGGTGCCTTCATCCTTTTTGAATTAAACTAAAATGAGATGGATGCATAAATGAAACTTCACAATGGAATCGTTTGTTTCAGATCGAAGATTTAGCAAACGAAGATGCTCCGCAACTGTACACTCTGTGTGGAAGAAGTTCGCGATCATCGTTGAAAGTGCTGAGGAATGGTTTGGAAGTGACCGAAATGGCTGTCTCTGAACTACCCGGCAATCCGAATGCCGTTTGGACGGTTAAGAGGAATATCGATGGTTCGTATGTTATGAATTGTTTTTGAATTTGATGTGTTC